AAAGGTGATACTTATGAAATATATATTTCATACATTGTTACAGTAAATTCAATCTTGTTATGTAACATGGCTTTATAAGTGCCTCCCACCTCATAGGGCAAATCTGGTCACACTAGATTATTTGTCCCTTCAACTAATGTTTACTTATAATTTAATAACTTAATTCCCTCTTTGATGTTGATTTTTACCCACAACCTTTCTTCTCACAATCGTTCTTTGTTTTGATATATTTCTTTCTTGGTATAGAATTAAAGGATGTTATCCTGTGAAGCACAATGTTTGGAACATCTTCATGCTATCCTTTCACTGCTGGTAGAATGTCAGTAAACTAACTTATCATATAACATATAATATTTATTAGAAGATCTCGCTTGCCTTTAAACACGGGCTCACTAAAGTCGATATGTCACAGTTATTTTTTTAATTGAGCAAATCTTGTACCTAAGTTTCACTATGATGTAAATACCTTCTGAAATGACTCACCCAAATAAGCATATACCTACCCTACGAGTCCTGCTCTGGTCCTCTACTAAAGAAAAGAAATATCTATTCCAGTGCTCTAGTCAGTAGTACTACATAGATATGTGTAATTTCCCTCACACTGGACATGAACTACAGAAAAATAATTCTGTTTAATTGAAGGCTAAATAGTTCTTCCACATCATGACATATTTGAAGGCATGAAGGACTTGACAAGTTTTGGTAAAACCGAAAGGTCAGAAGAAAAGTAACCTTTTTTACAATTTCTTCTCCAAAATTGGACATATGTACTAAACAACTATTTCAGTATCAAGTTACTTACCTTAGGAATGTAATATTATTCGCTGTTCTGACTCCTCTTCTCTCCATTCAACTCTTTTAGTGGAATAGAATTTGTTCTTTTGAGAATTAATTTTGTAATAGACTACAAATTGTAACTAACAATTTCCATTGTTTCTATTTAGATGTTACATTGAAGCAGACATGTTTAAATAAGGAAAGCAAGTATTAAATCATTACAGCTGAGCACATATAAACAGAGGGATAAACCTAAAGAGTCATATTCACGGCCAAGTGGGAGTAAAACCTGCAGGTGTCAAAAATGTGGGAGGCGTAGGTTAACTCTGTGACTTCTGATCAAACCTTCCAAGCTCCTCACTCTAATTTCTTGTAGGCCTCGCTCCCCATAGATACCAAAAAAACAATAGGACAAGCTATGGATGGCGCTAAATAGATTACTTTTTCAACTTTCTAAAAAGCTGCTTGTATTAGCAGCACCTTATTAGCGTATTAGCTCTACAACACTTAATTAGACAGAAAAAAACTAATATAAAGTGTGCCTTTAAGATTGTGCTCACAAAAAACTCTTGTGTATTGCAAGTGAAATATTTCAATGCAACAAAGTGCTTGTGCTCAAGATAAACCTGTAATTACTTGTGCAAGAAACCAATATTGGTGCAAATACACTTCAAAACTTGTGTAAATATTATTGCAACATTCCACATTAAAGTGCATAAATATGAAAAGTGCATTATATATTCTGTGTAAATCAATATAATACTTAAAATCAATGTCGTAATAAAATCAATGTGCAAATAGAATTTGATATTTCACTCACAAACTTTGATGACAGAGAGTTGATTTTCCACATGTAAAAAAAAAATACATAAAAGGCAGATAGTGTAATATTGCAAAAACAATGATGTATTTAAAAAGAGGTATATTATAGGACTCACCAACAATAAGCAGGTAAAGAGACTACTCATGCTATTTGCGCTTGTTCACTGTGTTATAGTCTACCCAGGATCTATTTTCCTGATAAATTCGATGGGCAGCCAAGCATAAAGATAAACAACTTTATTACACTTGATAAAAACAGCAGGCATATAAATGTGGGTCCTTTTCATCACTGTCAAGACAATAAGCAGGATTAACATACGGTTCCCAGATATTGTCAGTTCTGGCGTCTGAAAGTCCCCTTGCTTGTTCCGGGAGGTGTAGTCGACAATGTCCTGCGCTACATTGTATGAACACTGTATCATCTAATAATGAGAAGACAGAGAATTGGGTGACTTAACAAAGGTACTGCAAAGTGTATAAGCTAATCAGTATTGTCATTAGACATGTGCATAGGGAAAATGTTCAGTTCGGCATTCCGCAATTCTGGACTTCGGCAATTTGGGACTTCGGCAAATCGGCACTTCGACACTTCGGAACTTCAGCAACTTCGGAACTTCTGCACTTCAGCACTTTGGAACTTCGACACTTCGGCATTTCGGGACTTCTCTTGCAGCAGCTTAGTAGATAACTCCCTAATTCCCACGGTATTAGGGAGTTATCTACCAAAAAGCTGAAAGACCTAAATTGTTTTTTCAGCCAAATTTACTAACACTAAGTAAAAATTACTTAGTAATAGTAAATTTTGCCCCTACTCGCTATACCGCGAGTAGGGGCGTGTCGATTAAACATGTTAAAAAAAAAAAGGGGTCACCCCTCCCGAGCCCCCACCCGCGAGTCGCAAGTGTGGGCTTTTAAACTAAAGGGGGACCTATTGTCCTTCCCCCCGACCCCTACCCCTGAGCGGCGGGTGGGAGCCCTAAATCAGAATAAGGGGGGCACCTATTGTCCTCCCCCCTGTCCCCCACCCCTGAGCGGTGGGTGGGGCCCTAAATTAGAATAAGGGGAGGACCTAATGTCCTCCCCTGGCCCCCACCCCTGAGCGGCGGATGGGGGCCCTAAAGTAAAATGATGGAGGGGACCTATTGTCCTCCCCCCCGGCCCCCACCCTTGAGTGGTGGGTGGGGGCCCTAAATACTAATAAGGGGGGGACCTAATGTCCTCCCCCCTGGCCCCCACCCCTGAGCGGTGGGTGGGGACCCTAAATACTAATAAGGAGGGGGACCTAATGTCCTCCCCCCTGGCCCCCACCCCTGAGCGGTGGGTGGGGACCCTAAATACTAATAAGGAGGGGGACGTAATGTCCTCCCCCCTGGCCCCCACCCCTGAACGGTGGGTGGGGGCCCTAAATTAAAATAGGGGGGGACTTAATGTCCTCTCCCTGGCCCCCACCCCTGAGCGGTGGGTGGGGACCCTAAATACTAATAAGGGGGGGGACCTAATGTCCTGGCCCTTCACCCCTGAACGGTACATTCGGAAGTACCTGAATGTCCGATTGGCCGAAATTCATCCAACTTCACATTCAGACCGAAATGAATTGCACATGTCTAATTGTCATGACATTATAAATATTTTGGGCAGTAGTAACATCTGCTGTAAATTTTAAAATGGCCCTTAACTGCAGATATTAACCTGGGTTCCATTTTAGGGCACCATGATGACTAGGCTCCTGGGATTTGTCAAGACTTTATTTATGAAGTATAGTGTGCATGCAGCCATATTGTTCACCATTTTAACAGCTGTCTGTTCAAAGTGTTTTGCCTGCACATTTCATTATCTGAAGGGTATTGAGACAAGCCCCCCCCCCGACCTAGAATATTACTAGACTAAATGAATAATCACAGAAAAATAATGAATATTTTTATTTCATGACTGAATCTGTATTAGAATTAAGAAATGTGTAGCTTTATTGTCTATATATATATTCTTTGCAAAGTAAATACTGGTCTAAACTGCTAATTTCAACAACTAAGGGTAAGAAGTCACAGACTAACATGAAACATTTTCCCTAGTATTTTAGTAAGGGAAAAAGAGAAGGTACACATTTTGGTGTTTCCAAGATGGTGACGCCATGAATAAATACCTGTTAGGACTAGCAGGATCTGAAAAAAGATAAGTAGATTAGTGCCACTTACAACCATGTGGGGAATCTGGCCTGTCAGGAGTCCTTAGTGCAAACTGTGTGGTAAGGGGCAATCCCCAATTTATGCATTGCAGTGCTTAGAGGAAGGGATCTCGGATCACTTCCTCCCAGTACTTGTAAACTGGAATCTGCACTGGAGGAGAGAAGCCTAGAGTAGCTATCGTAGCTGCGGCCCTTGACCTATACCTTGCCAGCCTGTCCCCCACTGTACCCTAGGGAAGCAACCCACAAAGCTAGATATATAAAGAGTTGTAGAATAAGCTCCCCCCCATACAAATAATACCAATAGCCCACACACAAACCCAATTAGCACAACCACAACACCACAGACAATCCACATACAAGCAACCTCTCACATGTAATACCCCAAGCAGCCCCACACATACACACCAAATACAAATTCCATAAGTATCACGCACAATCCCACTAACTACTCATGAACATAAACATTATAACAGCCCCCATACGCACAAGTACAATGCTAAAAAAGCAACTGCAGTAGTTGTAAATATCCCAAGCACAATACGGAAACATCTTTTTTTTAAAAAGAAGCTCAGAATCCCAACAAGCTTCACAATCTTGTTTTGGCGCAGTACTACTAAAAGGTATATCCCTGATATAGTATATGTCACATAATGACTTCCAGAGATATTAGCTCTCCAATCTTACTGCATACTGTATCCCCTTAGGTTAAATAGGAAAGATAATGACTTGTGTGATCATTTGTCTATCAATGGCCTGTACTCCCTTCTGTTTTGGGAGCCTTTGGGATGTAAGGATGAAAAGTCTTGCCTTAGATATGTTAATGCTTTCACAGATTTTCTTTCAGTAAAAGTGAAGAATTCCTGGCAAGATGCAGCTTGTTCAGAATATTATCTGCTAAGTGATCTTTACAGGAAGAATTGTATACAATCAAGTCAAGTCAACTGCATTGCATAAACATGCAGGTAGGTGCTCTTTGGCTAATCTAGATAGCACTTCTAACACCTAAGGCAATAGTGCTGAACTGCCGCCTCCCTTCAGATGTTACTGCTCTACGACTGCCATAATGCCGTCTGCCTATGACTGACCAAGAATGATAGGGGCCAAGGCACAACAAGGGACACAGTTAGATAACCCTGACTTATGGGCTTACCTAAGCATAGAACTGTGGTGATAAATGGCTACCAAATTGTAAATGGAAGGCTACACTGGAAAATTTGCTGAGTTGAAAATTTAAGATGAACTTGTTCATTTTAGTGTAATCAGCAGTTGTATTGTCAGTGAACATTTATATAGAAAATCTCAACATGGCTCAAATTTCCCAACAGTCCCATATATTAAAGGAAAGGCAGGAGTTTGGGCCACTGTCCTAGTTTTTTTTTCTTTGGTGTCTGGTTGCACTTGAGAAAGACCTTATAAGGTGAAGATTAAACACATACTGACACCTGTAAGTGATTCTTGGAGCTCAAGTGTGCTGACATGATTCGCTCCTTTGCAGCTGTGTGATGTAGTGAGGCCCAATTCTGTTCCAGTCTGTAGTCAATAATTGCTAGACATGTGCAATTCGTTTCGGTCCGAATATGAATTCAGATGAATTTCGGGCAATTCGGACATTCGGACAATACCGAATTTCCGAAGTGCTGAAGTGCCAAAGTTCCGAAGATGCCGAAGTTCCGAAGTGTCAAAGTGCCGAAGTGACGAAGTTCCTAAGCACAGTATTGCCTAAGTACTAATATACTTACCCAGTGAAAGAAGAAGAATGTTACATTGTATACAATTTTAAATAAAAAGTATACAAACATAGCCAGGATTCAACTGTAAGCATTTGCAACACTTACAACAATCAATTAACATACATTCATATAAAATGTAAGTTACTTAGCCTGTCAATGTAATGACAGGAATGAATAAGTAGATAACTCCCTAATTCCCACGGTATTAGGCACCTATCTACTAAAAGGCTGAAAGACCTGAATTGGTCTTTCAGCCAAATTTAGTAATATTAAGTAAAGATTACTTAGTATTAGTAAATTATGCCCCTAATCGCTATACTGCGATCCACCACTTGAAATCCACCAATCAGAGAGTTATGAGTCAAATTACACAGTGTGAGAAAATTCCAAAGAACTTTCCCACGCTGTGTAAAATGACACAGAGCACTCTGGTGGATTTCAAACCAACCAATCAGAGTGCTGTGAAAGGTAAATGTAGAGACTTACCTGTCAGTCTCTTCATTTACCTGTCAGAGCACTCTGATTGGATGGCTTAAACCCACCAATCAGAGTGCTCTGAGCCTAATTGCAGGGTGGGGCAAGGCTTTATAAACCTTCCCCCGCCCTGCAGAGCTCAGTCTGCGCGGAGCTCTCCATGGGTGAAGAAGGATTAATATTTTTTTGCGCTTTTTTTTATTTTTTTTATTGCGTCTGTTATTATGGATTTTTATTTCGCCTTTTTTGGGGCTGAAAAAAGATTTTAGAAGAAAGAAAACATTGAATGGTAAGTTTTATTTTTTTACAGGTACTTAGTTAAAGGTCCCCCCCTCATTATTTTTAGGGTGAGGGGGTAGGTAGGGAGTTAATTTTTTTTTGGGGGGGAGGGGGTGACTAGGGGTTCAGGGACCCCTAGTCACCTGGGGGGTAACATTTATTTAGGGCCCCCACCCGCCACTCAGGGGTGGGGGCCAGGGGGGAGGACATTAGGTCCCCTGTTTATTTTACTGTAGGGCCCCCACCTGCAGCTCAGGGGTGGGGGCCGGGGGGGGGGCACAATAGGTCCCCCCCCCATCATTTTACTTTAGGGCCCCAACCTGCCGTTCAGGGGTGGGGGCCGGGGGGCAATAGATCCCCCCTTTAGTTTAAGAGCCCCATCTCGCGTGTCGCAGGTGGGGGCTCGGGAGGGGGGACCCTATTTTTTTTTTTAACATGCGGTATAGCGAGTAGGGGCAAAATTTACTAATACTAAGTAATCTTTACTTAGTATTAGTAAATTTGGCTGAAAGACCAATTTAGGTCTTTCAGCCTTTTGGTAGATAACTCCCTAATACCATGGGAATTAGGGAGTTATTTACTAAGCGGCTGCAAGAGAAGTGCCGACATCCTGAAATTCCGAAATGCCAAAGTTCAGAAATTCCGAGTTCCGAAGTGTCGAAGTGCAGAAGTTACCGAATTTCCGAAGTGCTGAAGTTCCGAAGTCCCGAATTGCAAAAGTCCCTAATTTTGGAATGCCGAACCGAAGCAAACCGAAATTTTCCCCATTCACATGCCTAATAATTGCATCTATGCGTTACTTATTGGCAAAAATAGAGCTACTTAAGGAAATATTTCCAAACCCTCAAACAGTAGCGCAATTACAAATCTGACAATATATTATGAATATGAATATTGTGATATTGCTTGCACTATTTCTCTACCATTCCTCATTTTAATAAATAAATAATGTTTATTGAACATTTTATAGGATTCTCCAAACACCATAACTACTACAGCTTGTTGTAGTGGTTATGGTGCCAGGAGTGCCCTGACATCCCATCATTATAAGTAGACAAATAATTTTTGAATGGTTTGCCGTCTAACCTGGGGTGCTCTGGGTGCAGCTACCTTTCTTCACTACTAACTCTGGACAGCTTGATGTTCCTAAGCAAGAGCTTCCGTTTGGTCTCCTGAGCTAGGCCCTGCAGCGCATAGAAATGAGAGTTATCAGCCACAGCAAAGCTTAGCACAGGAACTTAGAAACTTCAAGCTCTCTGGCCTTAGTAGTGGAGGCATGGAGTGGCACCCAGTGGACCCCAGATAAGAAGTCAATCTATTCAAAAATGTTGATTACTTACAATGATAGGCACTTTGGAACCCCTCGAGCTGTAGTGGTTAAGGTACTTGAAGTGTTCTTTAAGCTCTAAAGTGAACTTTAATCTCATACAGGGTCTTGCAAGCTATTAACAGAGCAGGAGATTTAAAATTGTAAACTAAGCAGAACTTGCAGTGAAGGAAGTTCAAACATTAGATGACTCGTTACGTGACGTATTCAGGAAGGCTGTGTAAGTCACATGTAGGGAGGTGTGACTAAGGTTCATAAAGAAATCGATTTAACTCCTAAATGACAGAGAATTGAGCAGTGAGACTGCATACTCACATCTACAACCAAAACTGCTCCATTAAGCTAAAGTTTTTTTGTTGACTTAATTGTCCCTTTAATTAAATAAAATGGAATTAACTCTTCTAGTTTTTAGATTTACTCATCACTGGCACTCCGTTTTCAGTTATAAAGTATGATGAAGTCCTGTAGAACACTTCAATTTTTAGGATGCATTTTTAATTATTTAATAATTTGTGCAAAGTATATCAGTTAATTAATCCACTCCTATTGACCTACAAAGCCCATAGGTATGTTATTAAAAGAAAATTAGATCTTTATTATAATTACATTTTGTAGCTGAAATGTACTGTAAAATAGAGAATTTTACAGTCCATTTGAGCCATGATATGGACCAAATCATATAATTCTGTATTTATAAGGAGAAAAAGATTCTAAAACTCATGTTGTTATTCTAATCCTAAACATAATATTTTGTAATACAGCATAATTCTCTTAATTACTAACTAATCCTTAATCCCTGACATTAAAAGGTTAGTCCAACCTTCATGCCCCCTTCTGTTTTTAGACATGGTCATGGAGGAAGCAATATGAATGTGCAGTGTTTCACCTTGAAACATTGCACGAACAGAGATTTCCGAACTTTTGTCCCGAGTGCTAGTTACATCCCCGGTACGTGTGACTTAGGCAGCCTGGAACTCTCTTCTGGGCTGCCAAATGTTAATTCTGTGCAATAGGGAAGTATAAGGTTAAAAAAACTAAAAATTAAAAGCTTTGGAGAAACCATTTAACCCAATGCATTTACCCCATACCTAAACATTATCCTAGTTACCTATGACACTATATCTGTAAATCCTAATACCTGTCACCCCCTGAATCCCAACCTTAACATCCATTTGCAACCATTAGCCAAAATATAGATGTCTCACAACTCCCCCCAGTCACCACCACAAACTGTCATCTCAAAGTATCCCATCACAAATAAGAGACACCTCACTGCTCCCAAACAACTAAACATAGGCGTGCGCACGGGGTGTGCCGGGTGTGCCTGGGCACACCCTAATCCAGCGGCACGCCTATGTATATTGAGACCGGCAGGGGAGATCTCAGGATCTCCCCTGTCGGCTCATGCAGAGCCGGCGCTAACCATACAGCACCCACACACATACAGCACCCACACAGCACCCACACCCACACAGCACCCACACACATAGAGCACCCACACACATACAACACACACACAGCACCCACTCACATACAGCACCCACACACATACAGCACACATACAGCACCCACAGACATACAGCACCCACAGACATACAGCACCCACAGACATACACAGCACCCACACACATACAGCACCCACAGACATACACAGCACCAACACACACACAGCACCCTCACACACCGCACACACACAGCACCCTCACACACACAGAGCACACTAACGGTACCCTCACAAACACAACCAGGACCCTAACAAACACACACAGCACACTACCAGTACCCTCACACACAAACAGCACCCTCACATACAGTACATTAACAGCACCCTCATAAGCGCACACACAGACAAACAGCACCCTCACACACAGTACATTAACAGCATCCTCACAAGCACGCACACACAAACACCCTCACCCACATAGCACACTACCAGCACCGTCACACACACATCACACTAACAGCACCCTCACACAGCACACAAACACACTCAGCAGTGTGTGTATGTGTATATATGTGTATGTGTGTGTGTGTGTGTGTATATATATATATATATATATACATACATACATACATATATATATAAGGCGTGAGCTTGTGCTTTAGGGTGCACACCCTAATGCAATAGGCTGCGCACGCCTATGCAACTAAAACAGAGAGAGGAGGGGGTCAGTAATTATAGAGTTACTGGTCCCCATAATGCTCTATATCCTGCATATCTTGTACTTACTGCAAGGGGGTGGAGGGATTAAATTCTTGTTATACGCATTTACTTTCCTTATATTTAAAAAAAAAATTGTATTCAAAGTTTGAAAAAACAAATGAAATGTACACTACAAAATGTATCTTTCTTTAGCTGCCGAACTGGATTTTTTTACATTTACTTCCTGGTTTGCCACTGAATGCTGTTCAGTCAAATGGAAAGGTACACAAATGATTGGCAAGCTGGTAGATACAGTTAAGAAACGAAATATTTGTGAATATATCAAGACATTTTAAAATGGGAGAATGCATAAGTGGGGTCTTTGCACCTTGAAGGGACACTCTATCAACTATAACAACTTCATCTAACTAAAGTGGTTATGGTGCAAAGACTATGCCCATGTAGCCTACTATTACA